TTTAGGACATTTAGGTAGGTTTAGGCTTGTTTTAGAAGGTTTTAATGGAGCTTAAGTCTAAATTGAAATTTTAAGGGTGGGTAAATGCTTATTTAGGAAGGTTTAAGGGGGTCTAGTGGACTAAGCTAGTTGAACTAATTTAGTTGGATTTTAAATGAAGTGTTTATTAACTTCTATGGTACATGGGATGGGTTATGGTGTACGAAAATGATGGTTCTAGGGTGTATGGAAATAGTATGGTCCCTAGTCTGGCTTAGGCAAATGATGGGTTCTTGGTGGGGTGAATTTCAGGGTTTTGGTTAGGGATTGGTCTAAGAATGGTCTAGGCCTATAATATTAAGTTTTCTGAGGTCTTGGCTTCCTGGAACTCCTTCAGCCGTGAATGGGGTGTTTACACAAAGAAGGGGTGCTTGTAGTAATCTTGGCAAAAAAAGTAGGCATATCTATACTACATTATTGAGTCAGAGTTAATAGGTGGACACATGTTACGAAAATAAGAAAGAACCATAATTCTATAGAGGATGTATGAGACATTCCCGCCTTTAAAGAGAGAGAGAGAGAGAGAGAGAGAGAGTATGCATAAGGGAAGAGAGAGTGTACATTATTTTCAATCTCCGCTAGTGCGTAGTAAGAGAGAGAGAGAGTATGCATATCTCAAATTTCCATTTAGTAAGAGATATCTAGGGAAAAGAGAGAGAGTATGCATAAGGGAAGAGAGAGAATACACATTATTTTCAATCTCTTAAAATTAGTGTATGGTAAGAGAGAGAGAGATAGATAGTTCAATTTTCTATTTAGAGAAATATCTAAGGGGGAGAAAGAGAGAAAGGGAGAGAAAGAGAGAAAGGGAGAGAGAAAGAGTATGCATAAGGAAAGTTAGAAAGTATGCATTATTTTCAATCTCCTAAAATTAGCGCGTGGTAAGAGAGAGTATGCACATTTCAATTTTCTATTTAGAGAGAGATATCAACAAAATCAATGAAGAGAGTGCTACTTACCATATCAACAAAATAGATAAAGATCTCATTGCTCTTATATTTTGCCATATCAACAAAATCTACAAGGATCTCATTGCTCCCATATTTGTAGGATTATTAACATGAGCAATTCATCAAACTTAGAAAGTAAATAAACCATAAGGAGAGAGAGAATGTATTATTTCCATTAGAGAGAGAATATCATATCCCAAATTTCCATTTAGAGAGATATTTTTTAATATTAAGAGAGATATCAACAAAATAAATAAAGATCTAGTTTCTCCCATGTTTATGGGATTATTTCAATGAGCACTAAATCCAATAAACAATAAGGGAAGAGAGAGAGAAAGAGAGAGAGGGAGAGAGTATGCATTGTTTTTTTACTTATTATACTTAGCCTTATTAACCATAGGCTTTATGAAGATATATAGAGCCCTATATCAATCTTTATTCTTAGAATGCATATATAAAATAGGTTTTTTGGTGATTTTATGTACTATCTTTTATTATCTCTCAGATTTCGTTATATTGATTTAGAGATTGAGTTTCTTCTTTAAAGTAAGGTAATGGCTCCTTGTCATGCTTTACTTTTTGATATTTTGTGTTTACTCTATTCTCTGTTAAAATAGTTTGCATATTTTTTTTTATGGAGTTTTAGTGGTGGTAATGAATTTAATTGGGCTTCTCTTAGTGTTATTGAAGAGAAGTCAATAGGATGAGGCATGCATGTGACAATGGGTTATAAACATTTTGTTCACTCAAGGGTTCAGTGTTCTTAATCTACTTGGGGAAACATCATATTTAAAGAGAGAGAAGATTCTTTGGGATACATGGTGATCAGAGAGAGAGACTACTTAGGGAAACATCACGTTTAGAGAGAGAAAATATAATGCAAGAATTGGAAATGGCATCCATTAGGACTTGGAGCATTACAATCATTCATCATAATCAAGAAGGTGATGGGTTTTGTTTTCTGGGTAGGTGAAAATTCAGTTATTATTACCTGCAATGGTCTTCCGCCTAAATCTCGGAAGCCACTTCTCTCTCTAAAATAACTCTTAAATATGTTGAGAGATGAATTTTTATAGAGAGAGAAAAACAACATGTTTTTTTTAGCATGAGTTTTTTAACGCTTACTCGATGAAAAATTGGTAAGTTATGGGGTTGTTTGTGCGTCATTGTCATTCTGAGAGACAGAGAGAGTATAGATTCACTAAATAAATGCATAAATTGTGATTATTTTTTTCAGAAAACAGGGAGATTTTAGGAGAGCAATGTTGTTCTTTGTCATTTAGGCTTCAATTTAGTGAAAAGTACGTCGGTTTGGATGAGTGATGTTAAGGGTTCAAAACCTTAAAGTTTGTGTCATCAAACCCCAAAAAGTAAAATTTTCATTATTTTAACCTTTTCATAATAAATATCTCTCTCTCCGGCACCAACACCACCACCACTACCGCTACAGCGCTCTCAACATTGTTAGCACCGTGACCATAACACCATCATATCTTGCATTGCTGCAACTGCTACCACCACAGCTAATCGACCACCATATCCACTACTACCACGCTTACGAGGACTTGACCTCTACCATCACCATTGCCTCCTACCCACTATCACTACTCCATCACCACAAATATGACTCGACCACTATTACTCCAACACGACTATCATGACTGTAGCCCCAAGAGCACCATAGGAGCACCACTATAACACTGTTGCCATCACCACCCCACAAGAACCACTAAACCACTATTAGAACTCCGCCACCATACTAAACCACCACCATCACACTACTACTACCACCACCACTCCTGCACTCTACTTACTCCACTAGGACCACCACTACCATCACCACCATCGTTATACCAACCACTTTTGAGCAACAATACCACAATTACTGTCTCGCCTGACAATGACAAATTACAATTCAAATTGAAATAATCAGAAAATGATAATAGAACATAATGCTATTGTTCAAATAAAATTTGAAAAAACTAAAACGACATGATTTAACGAATTTTTGAAACAAACGGTGCCTAAAAAAGAGATCAACACATCATCACAAAGTCAACTATTTCCATGCACATTCACCTTAGACTGCAAAATCTTTCTCTAATTTATTGGAAATGACCAAGACAATTCTTTTTCCTTAATAGGAAACACTCAACATATTTATTTGGAAACTAGATATATTCTAAATTCAAATTACCTTTAGAAAAGATAAATATTATTTTGAAGACGAACAAAATTATGTCAATTTAATGCATCGTTTTAACACATACTCTCTCTCTCTCTCTCTGACACACATAAACAAATACACATAGAAACAAATGATTTCTCTTTTATAAGGAAATAGGATATCCGAATGGGTCCCCTCTCTCATAATGAGACAATATGTGGATTAATCAATGAAGAGACTGCCTTATGAGTTATTATATATGGCAAATACCTTAGATAAAGTTGGGGGAGAACGGTTTCTGCTCGAATCCTAGTTTCTTTTTTATGAGGAAATGCAATATTTGTTTCAAATCCTATTTGGATGCTCGATTTTCCTGCCATGTGGACAAGATGCAGGATTGGGAAAGTGACATATACCATTATTTGTGGAAACAAAGGCTTTGTATCAGGTGCTGCTGTGGCGTTCTGGTAGTCCAGTGTCTAGTGTCAACACATGGTCATACACCTCAAAAAGCATAGAAGATTATGTTTCATCTCAAAAAGTATAGAGGATTATGTTTGCTCTCAATAATATTTAGATCCAAGACCTGAATAATGCAAAAAAAATGAAAAAATTGCCTTTGAGCTCTTAGCACGCTATATGTGATCCAAAATATATGGTTCAGATTATGTCTTCGAGAGGGAGTTGAGTTGGAGTTTCTTTTTTTTTCAACTCCTGAGTCCTATTTTTTGTTTGAAACTGACACTCGAACTAATGATATGAAACATTTTTCGATCAAACAAATCGTCCTTTCGGTGCCCAATAATATGTTGATTGTGGACTGCCAAACCACTAAATCGTTTTCCTTGTCCAACTAGCTCAATCAAAGAAAAAAATTATTTTCTTTCTAATGATGGCAAGGCAATTGGCTCTTATCTGTCAAAGCATAAATTCTCAGAAAACACCAATTAGGAAGGAGCGAACTTTAAAATGCTGCTTCATTCTGCGTTAATCCCCAAGAGATAGAAAGACCTCTTGTCCTCTTGTTATTTCAATGTAATTGCAAAACACATAAAGAACAAGCTTGAAAGTTAACATTCAAAAAAACAAAAGACCTTGAATGTTAGTGAGAAGCATTGAAAAGAACAAGCTTGAAAGTTGACATTCAAAAAAACAAAAGACCTTGAATGTTAGTGATAAGCATTGAAACAAGCAAATCAGATGCTGAGAAAGAAAAACTTAATTAAAGCTATGCATCTTGAGATAAAATTCAAGAAATCACCCCTCAGTAAAATATTGATTGTGCGCCTCCATGCGTATATGATATTAAAACGAGAATTAAAATGATAAGGTAATAGAGAAAATGGTCTATAAATATGTTAAAATGTTTATAAAAAGGAGAGTAGAGTCCTTGTATTGCGCTAATGCGAAACAACTTTGGAATGGCAAGGGCAAAACTTCTGCCACTCAATATCTATCATTCCATGTATTGAAAGTTTCGAAGTGCTTCTTATTTTTCGGCCAAATTACATCAAAATGAGTTCGGAAATGGAACCCATGATAGTACATGGAAGAAACCAGTTCTCACTGATTTACTTCCTGTAGAAGATCAGACAATCAGCTAGCTATTTAGATACTTTCTTAAACTTTGTAAGTTAAATTGTTGGTGGAAGTGGGCAGCTGTATTACCTCAAAAAAAAGTAAGAAAAAAAAAAAAAGAATGCTATATTTTCACTGTGTGATTGAAGGGGTTCAATGTGCCTTAAGTCAAAGGGTTTCACATTGATTCAATCGACTTTATCCAGGTATGACTAAGATAAATTGGCGTAAACCTTAAAGCTACCAAATCTATCACACTTTGTGTCAAAATAACTGGTTCCATTTTTTTTTTTGAAAGCAAAATAAAGCACTCATCTTTTGAAATCAAAGACAATAAACAGCATATGGATTGGATTGACCTCCCAAGTAGTAGTAGCAAAGGGGATCTGATTTTTCTGAAAATCCAGGAAAAAAAAGAGTACATGTATAAAATTTTCTATAACCTAGGTTTAAAAATTTGGATTCCACGTGGCGCCACGCGTCGCGCCTCGATGAACATCAACAAAATCTTGAAGGGAAACGCCTTTACGGAACGCCTGTAAATCACTGCAATCCAAAATATTAAAGACACAGGAGAAGGAGAAGGAGAAGGAGAGGAGAGAGAGAGAGTAATAGCATCAAAGAAACCCCTTTTCTATCTCCTCCCTCCTTAAACCATCTATCTTGCTCCTGCTAAGCGGGAGGCGGTATTTTGAAAGCCGCCGAAACCAGTCAAAAGTGGTTTTCAGACCCCATCAATGGAGGAAGAGGAAACCCCACCTGACAATCTCAGGTGCAGGAGAAGCGATGGTCGAGAATGGAGGTGTTCGCGACCTTCAATGGAGGGCCGGGCTCTATGTGAGATCCATTACCTTCAAGGCCAAAAGAATCGAACCAAGAAACAAGAACCAGTGCCTGACCATCTTAGGTGCCGGAGAACTGATGGTCGAGAGTGGAGGTGCACTCGCCCTGCAATGGAGGGCCGAGCTCTATGCGAGATCCATCACCTTCAAGGCCAAAAACGAAGCAAGAAAGAACCAGTTCCGGAGTCCCTGAAGTTGCCAAGAAAGAACAGGCGATCTCACTCTAGGCCCGTTCAGTTGAAAATGCATAAAAGTTTGAGGTATTCAGCGTTGAAAATGCAGAAGAAATGGAGGAATTCAGAGGTTCCAGAAAGGTTTCCTGAGAAGTTTGAGAGGGTTTTTAAGATGGTTTTGAAGAAGATGAAGATGAAAGAAGCTGAGTTACCTGAGGAACTGATATGGAGAGTGATAAAGAGGAGGATGGAGAGGAAGAAGAGTAAAGGGGTTTCTGGAGTGGGGGAAAGGACTAGGGATTTTCCTAACGGGTTAATGGCAATTGCTGGAGCTCCAGAGAAGGAGGTTGGGGTTTTTAACAAGAAATTAGGGTTAGTGTTGGGTTTGGCTCCTGGTTTGTTGGCTAGGAGGCCGGTTAGATCAAAGAACGCAGAGCCTTTTAACCAAGAAGCAGTTCAGGTAACTTGCTTTTGTTAATTTTCAGGCATTTCAGGTCCAGTATTAGTTTAAAGCATTGGAGGTTTTACTTATACACTTCTGCTTTTAGATTATTCCATGGAAACGAAGTGGGTTAAAGTCTAGGCTTAAATTTAAGAGCAAAAGTTGCCATCAATGTCAGAGGAGGGATGATTTCATTGGTGTTCGATGCTCAAGCTGCCAAACATTGTGTTTTTGCATGGATTGCATAAATAAATGGTGAGTTCTTATCATCTTTGTGCAATGTGAGTTAAATTTAGTTGCTTTTTTCTTGAGTGAATGCTTTTTTGTTTATTATTTCATCCAATTAATGGATGTTCTTATTTGAATTCATTTTGAAAACGTTCACACATTCAGTTTCTTTCCCTTATAAAATTCTATTCTTATTTTATTCAGAAGCAATGTGTACTACGATTCAAATCTTTTTGGGTTGGCCATCTACATTGTCAATGGTCAATCTTAAATTCTTAAAATTATCTTGTAATTAGAGGTCTCACAGCATTTAATTGAGTGAGTGCCTTCCTATTTGTCATGTTGTTGTTCGCACAGGTGATCTCTACTTAAGAGTAAGAAGTGGTTACTTGTTATTGGATTAGGGTGCTTTACTGTTAGAGGCTCAATGGTTGCTAGACATGAGCATACTGATTTTTTGTACTCAATGAAGAAAATTTGAACCCGTAAGCTTGTAGTACGGTTCCATGGGATTGAAAACTCAATAACTAAGTGAAATGGAGGGGGACAATTTTACATGGTCTAATAACCATGAGAACTGGTGATGACAAGACTCAGCGACTGAAATTCTGGAGTCAACCATTTTTGCATCCTTAAGGCTCCAAGGAGTGAATATCCTTAAAGGCTCCAAGGAGTGAATATCCTTAAAGGCTCCAAGGAGTGTGACTATTCACGAGTCGAAGAGGATTGATCCCCTCTGGATTCACTGGCATGTGGTCAGGTCATGCTTGCTATCTGAAACTGTGTTGATGGAAGAGCAGGTTGACAATAGGTTTTTTGTTTGAAAAAACTCATGGCAGTGAAAGAGAGTATAAGTAGTAAATCTTGCTTCACTTGAACACTTAATTTTGTTGAAGAGGTATCAGCTGCGGGTAAGAGAGAGGAAATCCACATGTTCTTAGAGGAAGATAGAAGTGAATGATATTCATCAAGGCCTGTGTACCATGGCACTCATAGATTGCAGGGTTTCCTCAAGGTAGACCATGAGAGGAAGTATAGGTGTGAAATCTTACTTCATTAGAATACACATGTTTCTGAAGAGGTACCATTCATGGTTAGGAGGGAGGAAGTCCCCAAGCTATTAGCGGAGGATAGAAGCCAAAAATATTCATCAAAACCAGAGTACCATGGCACTCATAGATTGCAGTAGACATATCGGAACTAGAAATCTTGTGTGACTTAAGGAAGGGTATTGAAGTGCAAGTTCTGTCTACTAGATTGATAAGGGATGCAGAAGAGAATCTCATTCATCATATCAAAAGTGGCTTGCAGTATTGCACATTAAGAAGATGTAATGTCGTACACCAGTTCTATTCATCCAAAGAGAGTTCAAGCCTTCATCAGAATACCTTCCTCTGGATGCATTCCCTTATTGCTCACTGATACCCTGTAGTGGAAGTTTCAGGCTTGCAATCTTTTCACTTCTTAGAGGTCTAGCACTAGGTCTATATGGTTTTCTGCTCGCATTTTTCTAAGATTGCCGGGAGCCTAGGATGTCCGCAAGGAAGATCCTGATCCACTAGTTTCATGGCTGCACTAGGTTGAAATTAGGCCTAAACTCCACCTTTATCTGCTTATTCCTACGATTCTAAGGGCCAGAAAAAATAAGTTGTTTGGACATGAATTTGGTGGTAAGCATCTAGAAATTTATAGCTGGAGTCTTTCCATTATTATTTCCCCATCCCCAGATGCACTTCTTCATGACCAAAAATTTTAGATATGGCACTAATAACACACGAATTCATCATATCACTGATAAGGAAAATATAGATTGGAAGATATATGATATTGTAGATTGGTCATTTCTTGATTATCTAGTAGCATGAATAGTTTTGGTAATGGTATGAAAGAGCTCAGTTGGGGAGCGCATCTCTTTTTCTCAATCCTGACCACCGATGACAAGTCGGCCACCCGGGGCCTAGGCGTAGCCTAGCCTCGGGTCGGGGCGGGGCGGGGGCGGGGGGGGGGGGGGCAGGGGCAGAGGTGAGGAGGGTGTCTTTCTAGTCAGGCATGTGCAAGGCCCCTGACTAGGCTGGCTCAAAGTGGGGTGGCTAGGCAAAAGAAAGCCATTAAAAAAAGAAAAAGTTAAGGCCTATTTAAGGCCCTTCTCTCTCTCTCATGGGCCCATATGTTCTCTCTACATATAAGAAAAAGTAGAAGATGCAAGCATTCGATGTGAGGCCTCTCTACATCTCTCTCTCTCTCTCTCACACACACACAAAGACACACATGGACCCATATGCTCTCTCGTTACATGAAAGAAGAAGAAAATGAAGAAGATGACCTCCAAATGTTAGATGTGAGGTTCCTCTCTCTCTCTCACAGACTCTGACCTCCAAATGTTGGATGCGAGGTCCCTCTCTCTCTTGCATAGTCTCTCTCTCTCTATCTTAGTATCAGAAGAAAAAGAAGAACGTCCTCCAAATGTTCAAGACCTCTCTTTCACAAACATGGTTCCATATGCTCACTCCCTCTTACCCTACCCTATGAGATAAGAAAAAGAGAAAATGATCTTTACGTATTTCATGCAAGGCCTCACACACGCACGAATGCACATGCACACACTCCTACTTAAGTTCATGTTCCATCATATCAAAACGTTTATTACAAACCCTCATAAATCCTTTAATCGCCACACTCACCCAATACCCAAGCGATCTAATTTGACATCTAATAAGTGGGAATAGTTGTGGCCCTCATACAAAAGGTCTCTTTGTAAATAAATAGAAAGTATATCACAGCTTAGGAATAAGAACAATACTTCAATTTTAATAAGGAGCTAGAGGAATATAACTTCAAACAACTTAATAACAAGCTAAACAAATCTATATGTCCGGATCACCATGGACTGAGATGAGACATTGTGGTCTCTAGAG